TGAACGTGGTAGTTACCTTGCTGTCTATGGGAGGGTCAGAGAGCCCTCAGATTTAATCAAAAATATTATAAATTGTGTTCCGAAGATAAACGAAGGTCTTACGGGTTTCAAACAACACGAGGGTAAGTAATTAATGACAGAATTTTCATTTTTGCGATATGGCTAGGAACTATACTCTCATTCCGGTGTAATAATCAAGTAACTTTGCTGCCATACCATGGGTGTAGCAGGCCCAATGATATTATGCAGCGCCTGAAAATAGGCTTATTGGAAGTTACCTAGCTGGGACTATTTTCAGGCGCTGCGTAATATCATTGCGCCTGCTGCACCCATGGTACGGCAGCAAAGTTCCTTGATTATTACACCGGAATGAGAGTATAGTTCCTAGCCATATCGTAGCCACATCATAGCCATGTCGTAGTTCCTAGCCATATCCTAGCTTAGAAAATCCCAACTTTTCATTTTCCGTCGGTCTTAGTACACGATGTAACTACAGAAGAGTCAAGTTTTAAATAGGAAAAATATAGAAACTCTTTGGTCATTTTTGAGCGAGATGCTAACGGTCTAATCAGATTCAATGATCTATGCTAAGCTAAGCTAAAAGTGCTACAGCCAGACCCGGAGATCGGCTGAATGGATTCGAAAACGGTAAAACTCAACTGTTTAACTCTAGGGGAGTTGGAAAATGAGCCTATTTTCAAAAATAGTGGAGTGTTCCTTTAATGTTCAATTTGGTCACTTGAATTCACCACACTGACAACAGAAAGCTGCTTGCTTTGTTAGAAAATATCAACTGTTCTGTGTGAACCGTGCTTTATATATAACGACACTATTATTGAGACAATGGACCTTTTTTCCCCTGTGAAATTTTGCTGTGACTGCACTTTTAGTCTAGAAAAGACTGAATGACATGAAGAAACCAATCAAAGCACTTAAAACGACACATTGGTGACGCCTGCTGGTCAAAACAGTGTAAATGCAGATAATACTGATCCGAGATCAGGTAAAATCCATATTGACACTGGTTCATCATCATGGGCTCACAGGGCAGCAGCAAACCATTGAAATTTCTAAATATTTCGAAACAGTTATGACATAAAGCCTTGTTTACTGAAATCATGTGACTTTGGCAGTTTGATATGTGCTCCGAATCACTGGTTTGAAACAAATGATTCACAAAGGTTTTGTAAGCGGCCATCACTACCAATCACAATTAAATTTGCTTTTATGTGAAATTTGGGCTGTGTAATTCTGAAAACATTGAAGGAATTTGCCTGAGAGAATGAAATGCATGCATGCAAAAAAGCGCAAAAAATACTTCCTGACAAAGCACTTTAAATTAAATGTCAGTCAGAAGAAATAACCCTCATTGACTTGAGCGTGCCTTCAATAACATTTAAGAGTGAGTGGCATTTGATTATTTTCATGAAATATTCATTATGACGCACTCCGACAGAGTTGCCACCCTTAAAATGATTGTTATTGATGGCGTGTTTGCCTGTTGTCATAATGTAGTTATGCTCATTAGCAGCATTGTTAGTATGAAATGTTGGGTGGTATCGGAGGGTTAATTAATAAGAGGAATATTGCTCAGACTCATTAGCAGACACCTGTCTGACTGCTGTCGATATGACAATACCCTGGAAAAGCAGACATTGAGAAAAGACCGGGTGTGATATAAATGTGATTTATCATATAATTAATAGGGCTGTAAATTTAATATGATAATTTGGTACAATTAATCATATAGTGCTTAATTTTAAAGTATTTAATCATTACATGCATGCAAACTTTGTGGCTGAGTAATGCTGTTGCAAATGTTTCAAGAGTTCCTTGACTCTAGAAAAGCAAGGAACTGTTGTTTTTTTTGTTTTTTTTTTTTCATTGACTTCTCTTCTGTTCGTTTAGCCTCATTCTGATGAGGTCTGGTTTGGTTCTGTGCATAATAATAATAATTATTATTTGTTTGCTAGCTTGTTTGTTTGTTGAATTAAACTAGGTAAGAGTATTGCACAGCTGGTGGTCTGATGGGGCTGCTGATCTGGTCAATTCATCAAAGCTCTAATGTCCCAGTGTATCGATTTAACAAACCATTGATGGATGAAGTTTACCATTTTATGCCGAAGGTCATAGAGAGGTCATGAGACCTCATTATCATTTAACATCATCTTTGATCACTGACGGCTCACATCAGAAAACCTGATCAGTATGTAATGTTCTGAGAGTGTTGCATTGGGAATCTTATAGTGTTCTGTTTACAATCTATCAAAGTATTAATCCAATAAGCCAAAGTAATAATTGAACTTGACTCTATTTATTTCGTGATTTAGAACCTAAAATCCAGTAGCTTACAGTCATTCTGATCACAATCAGTGATAGTGCTTATGCATCAGCACAATCATTAAAGCGGTCATATGATGCAATTTCAATTTTTCCTTTCTCGACACACGTCAGTGAAAACCGGAAATGTCACCGGATGTGCCACTGAGCATACTGGCATGTGCCAATGGCTTCCGTACATC